GAAAGTGCAAGAAGAGTCAGGCTGGGGCAGGTCAGAGGGCTTGGGGCTGATGCAGCACGCAGTCTATCCAGTTGGCATGGAATTAGCAACCATATGGTAGAGCTTTTGCTTACATTATAAAGTCTGCTTTCACACTCCAGATGACCTGTTTTGTGGAAAGTGCTGCTCCAGTGGCATGGAAACAAAAAGTGGTAACAGCTGTTTAATAGGTTTCTTCACAGCACAGGCCTCAGCCACAGGGGAGGAAGCAGATTTGACCCATTCTTCTGCACAATTAAGGGATTAGACCATTTGAAATGTTTTATTTTTACAGGAATTTCATTCCTTTTTGCAGCTTAAATACCTAAAAACAACTGAGTGTCAGAGACTGAAGCAAATAGAGGAAGGTGTGCTCAGCACGTGGCGAGAAGCCAGAAATTCCTGCCTTTTAATCTCTTGGCTGACAGTTGCTCCCTCGATTGCTTTACATAACTTACTGTAGCCAGTTTGCATGGTGTTTCGTCTTCTGTGACATGGAGAAAGCTATTACCTATTTTATGTTTGTCTGGAATATTAATGAATGTTTGCAAAGTGCTTAGCTTTAGCAGCAGTATACAGAGGATGCCCACGCTGAGTGCAAATTTATTGCCTGCTCTGCATGATTCACTGATGGGTTTAAGAAACAGCTGCCCACCACCATCACCTTGGCCAAGTAATTCAGCATTTAACAACAAAGAGAAACAACAGCAAGAAGTTACCAGTATATTGAGCACAGAAGTATTGTCTCTACACAGCTGGCACAAGATCTTAAACAGATCATCTGAGACAGGGGTAGTTTTTAACATAACAGGCTGGCTGCCTATCTGCGAGTTCCAGAAAGAACAAATTATCTGCTCTGACACAGGTAACACATAATGGACAAATAACAGCACGTGAATAAAAACAAAGGAGCAAATAACATTCCTGGTGGTGTGTACAAATTAGATGCCCACTAAAATTCTGAATGAAACAGGTAGTGTGGGGAGGAAAGGACAGGAAGGAAGCACAGAAGTAATGGAGGTGACAAATCAGATGCAGGATGCTCTTGAACATGCCTGAAATTCTGTAAGGCTTGATGGTTTCTGAGAATTGAAGGGATGTATAGGTTAAATATCAAACCACCTCTCCTCTTGGCAGAACTAAGTAATGGAGATACCCTTCCAAATGAAGCTTGTGATTACAGCAGTGCCTCACTAGCGCTCTTACCTATGGTTTCCTTTTAATGGAACCATTATAGCCTTCTTGACCTGACTGGAATTTACTATTTTTGGAGGATAGCATTGTAAATTGTAAGACTCAAAATACAAGAGTTTTTCAAAGGCTAAATTGGGCACACTGTAAAATTAGAGGTAAAAAAAGCCCAACAAAATGCACAGGTTTACAAATTTGTAGTCAGCCATGCACAAAACCAGTGATCAATTGACATGTTTACCAGATGTGGACCTTTTAATAAAGTTCATTATCAACTGACAGCATATTTCGACAGGAGATTTTGCTTTTCTTTCCTTGAAAACTTTTTTTTTGTTTCGAAGTTCCTTTGATTCCATTCATGAGAACTTCTTGACTGGATTTCATGATTGCATTTCTTAGCAGATGAGCTCTTTCATGTTGCTTATTTGGATGCAACTATGTCAACAGGTATCATAAATACAATAATATTATGGCTTGGGGTGAGTTGCATTTTCATATGTGACAGATACATGCAAACTGCTGGGTCACAGGATTACCACTGTGGCATGTTTCTGAACTGTTCTCAATTCTGCTTTAATCAGAAATTAAATGGTGATACCATTGCAGGATACCTTTGTCTTTTTCATTCCAAATGAATTTTGAAACTGCCTGCTTTTCTTTTATATTACAGTGACAGATCATTTGTCAAATCTATGAACTTCAGAAGGAAAATAGAAAGTTCAGAAAAGTAAAACAAACAAAGCAGATAAATTTCCAAAAGTTACAACAGATTACAGGGAAAAAATGAGGTAAAAGGCCATAAGGGAAATTTCAGAGCTGAATAGATTTAAAAAAAGAGATCACGTGTTATATGGCATATCATGTGGCTATTCCAAAGGAGTGACCTAAACTTGCTAATGGTAGCTCAGGAATATTACAGTTGTCATCATCTAATGCTATATGCGCACTGTTTAAGTATTGATTTGACTGCATATATTCTGTAACCTGTAAAATTAGGCAATACTGTGAATTAGCCATTTTTCCCCTTTTCTCAAGACAGGAGATGTTTCCACTTATGATGCCATTTTTAAAAGACCAGAGAGTTACAACAAATATCTTCACCGATGTGACAGAGAACATGCAAAGAGTCGTGGTCTTAACATTAATGAGGAGGTAACCCTTTGATAAATTGATAATTATCTTTGTTAAAGGTGTTTTGTACTTTTTGACATGGCTGGAGACTATAGGCATTGTTTTACCTTATATCATGCAGCCTATACAGTAGCAAAGGAATCAGAGGACATCATTGTCCTGGGGGTTTAGCAGAAAGCATTAGCCAGTGAAGACACCGGAGTTAGCTCCTGCTCTTTGGCATCCTGTAGATTTCCAGGTGACGAGCTGTATGCGAGTTAAAGCGTGGGGAAAGAGATACGCACAGCAAGGAACACCCTCTGTAACAGAGCTCTAGGGTCACTGGAAGTGTCTCCTGATTTGTCTGTGTCTCTCGAGAGCTGCAGTTCAGGTGGTCCTGCAGCTATTTCTGTCATGCTTGAGAACTCTTCTCCCTGAGAGGAGTGGATTCAGGGGCCCCGACTCAACCACTGCCCTCTGACATCCACCCTCGCTACGCCAGCCTTTGCTGAGAGCCCAAGTCTCTGCAGCTGGTGACTTTGTTATGCAAACGTGCACCGGATTGCTCTGCAGGAAGGAAATTCATAGGGAGCAAGTGCAAAGGAGGAGGGGTCAATCAGGAGGCCACGTACATGCCTGGAAAATGCTGGGCAAAGCATTCGAGGCCAGCAGAATCTGAGTTTGGTGTGTAGGCTGATAGCTAAGGAGGTATGCAGCCATGTTTTTAAACTGCTGCCTTGAAAACAGAAATACTGTAATATATATACATATATATAAAAATAAGTATTTTTCCATGCAGCATCTGAATAATACACATACATACACAAATGTGTATATTTATACTTACATACACGCACACAGAGGCAGAAGCTGTCAAAACCAACTGAAGTACAACCTCTGTCAACGGCCTCAAAATCCCAGTGGGTTCCTGGGATGTAAAGAGATGTGTAGGCTAGGAATGGCTGCCTGTATTGCTGATTACATATGATAGAGATGGAAAAAGGAAGGGAGAGACTAAAGTTAAAATTACTGTAATTGCTGTGTAATAAAACTGTTGAGATTTTGGGACAAAGGCCACAGCCTGTGATTCCTCTCACTGGCAGCTGTATATGCCAGACATTTCAGTGCATAGCTGTAATGCCTTTCAATTCTTTCAGGCAGGGTAGGGAGCAGTGGGTGCTCCCAAAGGAATCCCAGCAGTGCCCATTACCATCACTTGCTCATGCCTAGTAACTCAACTGCGGATCTGCTTGAGCCCAAAAGCCATGTAAATGACTGCTGCAGTTAAAAATGAACCTTTTTATTGAAACAAAACAAAGCCACACACACCTCCCACAAATACCAAGCCCAACATTCAGCTGGGAAATTTGTGTAAAAACAGTTTATCAATGCAGAGAGTTAAGGTTTCTTACTGAGCTCTTGTGTCCTTTCAGTATGAACAAAACTCACTTTCCTACCAGTTTGCTTCCTAAAGCAAATGTGTATGGGCCAGAATTCATACCAGCTCTGCTGGGCACTGCACGCAAGGGACTCTGCCTGAACAGGTGTCCCTTAATCCAGCCCTTTAATTAGCAGGGAGACACTCAAACCCACAGCTGTTAAATGTTACAACATGATCCTCCTGCATGTGATGACACCCAATGCTGGACTTACTAAGTGCAGGTCACACACTTAACTCCTACTTTTTCATTACCTCAGTAGCCCTCACAGACTTTAAATAATAATAACAACTGTTTTATAAAACATAATAAATAAAAAGGCCACAATCAATATCTTTCTAGTAAAACACTGAAAGGAGACAGGCTGAATCCACCACAGTACACTTCTTTCCTTGAAGTGGAAAAAACCAAACCACTGCAAGTAAGCCCTTCATTTCCTGCAGAGAGCACCCAGGGAATCCAACCGTGCAGTCACAGATACTTGGTTGAGCTACACGTAGCCCAGTGACTGCAGCAGAGTGTTTGCACAAGGCTGCCATTGCTGATTTCAAGCATTAACAGTGCTAGAATTACACGCTGCGAAGGCGTGTAGCAGGATGCTTCCCAGCCAACTGTTGGAAAATCTGAAATCTGCTCAATGCCGAACCCGCAGGGATGAAATGCCATCGTGCACAGTCAGCGCTGTGCTACCAAGGATCCTCAAAGCTGAATCTTATTTATTTAAAGGGAACACAAACTCTCGGAATTACATACTGCTGCCCGTCATTAGCACTGTAAAGCCTGTATCACTAGCAAAGTCTTTCTTGATGATGCAAAGATTCTGTCATTTCTCCATTTTTGACATTTATCCATAACTGGGGTGGGGGGAGGAAATGGTCTTGGTTTTTGCCTGCCACTCTTCTTGACTTGATTTTTGTCCTGGTGAGGTTACAAGTTGGTGTACTGAATAGCTTTCAATGGGGTGGAGCAAGGTAGGAAGGGTGGGGGGAGAGTTGAGGGATGAATTGTTTTGGAGTGGGCTTTTCTGGGTTGGCTTTTGTTTTTTGGAAGAAAAGGGTTTGCAGCATCTTCCGAAGATTCTCAGGTCTACTTTTGTCCGTAAGTCTGGATATGTCTCGTATCTGACTGCCCTGCTATGAGACCCCTTGGATTTGTGCTCCCGCCTACATCCTTGCAGGAAATGAAGGGGCTCACGTGCTTCATCACGAGTGCTGATACATCTCAGATTTGCGTCTGTTGTAGCAAAGAAGTAATTTGTTTGCACCTGAACTGTGGTGTAGCATCCACATTTTGATTCTCCTTGTAGATACTATTAATATCATAAGACTAGGTAAACACACTGGGGACCAAGGCTTACTGTGTCAGCCAGTGCACAAACATACAAGCAGCCTGATAAACCTGAGACCTTTGGCTAGGGAAA